TTTTTTTGTGGGTAGTGTTCTGAGTACGGTTGCCCATGAACTCAAAGTAATCACCTTGCTTTTATTTCATTGATAAAGTGTCTTTCATTTATGTATGATATGTGTACATTGTATTCTACAACATGAACTTCCTTTCTGTTTTCAGGCCGCGGAGGCTTATTTAGTTCACCTGTTTGAGGACGCAAACCTGTGCACCATACACGCGGGAAGAGTAACTGTTATGCCAAAAGACATTCACTTAGCGCGCAGGATCCGAGGAAGGACTGATATAAGCTGAATGAACATTTGCACCACTGCTCTTTTTGGAGAGGGTTGTATATTATTTTAGATGGATCTTATTTCAAATAATGTCGATATTTTGGATACTCCCACACAAATCATTGACTTTATTTTGCATCCTCAGCAACTTCAAGAGGCAAAATGTCTGCATGTTTGAGATATTTTTGCTGCTGCGAGATGCTTGTGAAAGGAGACTTAGGTTGTAGAAGTTTTAACTCTTATAATTTATCTGGTCCAAACAAGTGGCATTCTTGTAATTTTTTATGTTACTGTACATAGAGAATTTATTTTAAATATCATGTAGTGATATCAAATGTACATTTTTTTCTGGAATAAATTTTACAGTTTGTTTTTAATACAAGATTGAATTGAATAAACTTGTAAATATTTTTCAAGTTAGAAACTGGTGACTACCCTGAGTGTCAGAGCAACGTAAAAGCTAGCTTGTTAAATATATACCTTGTGATGGAGTCGCTTTTACTAGCTCTGACGAACAGCGACAATCTGAGGGCGTTCTTCTTCAAAATTTTGCCTGGGGCGCTTCCATATTTGGAAGTCACACGTCACAGCTGTGTCCGCCTGGATCCATATTTGGAAGTCATAAGTCTCGTACGTCACAGGTTTGGCCGCCTGGAGCTGCCTTTCCCGCCTCGCGCTGAAGTTATCTCGTGCAGACGAGACAAGAAGCAAAGTGCCTGACGAAGTTTGAATTGAAAATATCTTGCAGTCGAAGGTCAGTGCCACAATAGAAGCAACATTCTGCTTTAAAAACTGATTTTGGTGTAGCCATTGCGCAGCCCTTATAGTGGTATCGGGCATACAGTGTAGCTGTCAAATTTGGCACACGGCAAGCACGTGTACATCTCAGGACTAAATGTTCTTTGATAAGCAAAAA